GGGAAATGGAGGATTAGCGTGAGGGAAATAGAGGGGTGGTGCGGGGGAAGGGAGGATTAGCGTGGGGCCTACGGAGGATTAGCGTGAGGGAAATGGAGGGGTGGTGCGGGGGAAGGTAGGATTAGCGTGGGGGAAACGGAGGATACGCGTGAGGGAAATAGAGGGGTGGCGCGGGGGAAGGGAGGATTAGCGTGGGAGGATTATGAGGGGGAAAAGGGCGAGGGAGAGTGGGGGCGAGGACGGGGGGGAGTGGGGGAAAGGACGGGGGGGAGTGGGGGAAAGGCCGGGGGGGGGATTGGGGGGGAGAGGGGGAAGAGAGACGACGGGAGGGGAAGTGAAGGCGACGGGAGGGGGGAGTGAAGGCGACGGGAGTAGGGAGTGAAGGCGATGAGAGTAGGGAGTGAAGGCGACGGGAGTAGGGAGTGAAGGCGACGGGAGGGGGAAATGGAGGCGACGGGAGGGGGAAGTGACGGTACTTGCAGGGGAGGGACTGGCGCGGCTAGGAAAGTACCCTAAGGGAAGTTTTAGCAAGGGGAGGGTAGGGATCGGATTGGGAAGGGAAGGGAAGGGCGATGAATCAAGGCTGAGTGACGGGAAGGGAAGGAAAGAGGAGGTGTACGACGGACAGCTGACACCGGTGGTGTGATGGGATCATGGTACATTGGCGTGAGGAAAGCTCTGAGAATCAGCGTGAGCCTAAAGTACATGCTGCTGCCGATTCTTGTGAATCGCGGCGAGAGGGTAGGGCCGCACTAGCGCTTGGACTCCACCTTTTTACTGCATGGTGGGAAATGTTAATTTGTGGCGTAACGTCCTCGTGGCTCGAGCAAACGCAACCCGCGGGATCAGAGGAAGGAATCGCACTTACGGGCGTTTTCGAAGCGTGCTGTGTGTCACTTCTAATTCCCAGCGATAGCTAATGATGCCGTAGCGCCGCTTTGTATACGCTATCACTATCGCCCGCCGTCTGCTTTGACGAGGTGGCTTTGCGTATGCGCTAAGCTGAATTTCCTAGCTACTTGTAGTCGGAGCAGTTTCCTATACTACAATGCAGTGACGTGGTGTTGGGAAGTGGGGTTGTGTGTGAGACTGGTTGTTGTTGGGTGTCGGTTTAGGCTCTCTGCGACTGATGTGTGTGTGAAGTGCATGTCGCAGGTCAATCCTGATAACATTGGCGAACCTGGGCAAGTACACGAACATCCTCTAACAGTCTCGACACTACCAAATTTCGCGGGCCAATCACGTTTTCAGTCCCAACCAACCTTCCTAAGGTTGAAGTTCTTGGCCCGCGGGTTTTAACAGCCAGTGCTATACCAGAGGAACTATACCACTATTGTGGTATGCAGAACGGAAGGCCCACTGCTACTATTGAAAGCGATGGGGCCATATACCGTTTTTTTTTTTTTTTTTTTTTTTTTTTTTTTTTTTTGTCTCTCCAATGTTCTAGCTCGTCGCTTTAGCATCGCTTACCATTCGCTTAGCCGCCAAATTATTTTTTTCTCGCTTGTCCGCCAGCTCTAGTGTCGCATGCAGTTGGCTTAGCCGCCGCCTCGTACTGCCGGCCGTTACGTTTCGCCCTCGTTTGGTCGCGCTGGATCCCCCGTCTTGCGTGTGCGCCCTTCCCTCCTCGTTGACCCACCCGCGTCTCTAGCAGCGAACTCGACTGGTCGTCCATCAACGCGCTTATTGACCCACGGCATACGTGCGCGGCCGCGACCGTACTTCGTACCGCTCCTTCAGCAGGTTCTTGGGCAGGCTCCTCCTCCTTGTCCTCCTCCCTCCGTAGAGTGTCCTCCGCCTGTCCAGCCGTAGTCACAGTTACCGCCTACCTCGCCTCTCCCTGCTCCCTCTCCTTACACTGGTCCCACAGGAGGTCTTACAGAGCGTCGTGAGCCTGAGTCTCGTCCTGCGTCGCCTGTTCGTCCTGCTCGCACTGCTAGTCGTGTCCGTCGTGAGCGTCCTCCTCCTGTCCCAGGCACTCACTACATGACTCTGCGTCCCTCTACTGCTCCTCAGCGTGTCCCTCTACCGTCTCCTCCTGCGTCCTCTTTGCCTCACGTTCCGGACCCTGAGTCTGACCGGTACCGTGCTGAGCACCCTACTGTCACGCGTCTCCTCGCTACTGTTGTCACTGACCCTACCTTTGAGTCCTCGACTGCGTCTGCTCTGGTCGCTGAGTTGGTTGACTTTGCTGCTGCCTGTCGTCTAGACTACGCTGCTAGCCTTGTTGCTGAGTCTGAGTCTGAGTCTGTCTGTCCTCCGTCCGTCGGGGGTGAGTGTGCTCTTGGCACGGACGTCCTTGAGGACAGACAGGAGGAGTTCCAGTGTCTTGCTGCTGCTTTGCCCCGTCTCGTGTCCTTGCTAGTTGCCCCTGAGGGAGACCCGGATGCACCAGACATCCCGACCCCGCGCACTTACGCTGAGGCGATGGCGGGTCCCTACTCCTCTCAGTGGCAGACAGCCATGGACGCCGAGATGGCTTCCTGGAAGTCCACACGCACCTACGTCGACGAGGTTCCCCCTCCTGGGGCGAACATCGTCAGTGGCATGTGGATTTTCAGGGTGAAGCGGCCGCCGGGTTCTCCGCCTGTCTTCAAGGCGCGTTACGTGGCTCGAGGCTTCAGTCAGCGAGAGGGAGTTGACTTCTTCCAGACCTTCTCCCCCACCCCGAAGATGACTACTCTTCGGGTGCTGCTGCACATAGCCGCTCACCGTGACTACGAGCTTCACTCACTTGACTTCAGCACTGCTTTCTTGCAGGGCAGCCTGCACGAGGAGATCTGGCTGCGCCGCCCACCTGGCTTCACTGGGTCGTTTCCTCCTGGTACCCAGTGGAGGCTTCAGCGGCCGGTCTACGGTCTCCGCCAGGCTCCGCGTGAGTGGCACGACACACTGAGGACTACACTTGCGGCTCTTGGGTTCGCGCCTTCTACAGCTGACCCGTCGCTGTTCCTGCGCACCGACACTTCGCTGCCGCCGTTCTACATCCTCGTGTACGTCGACGACTTGGTCTTTGCCACTGCTGACACTGCAGGACTCGCCTACGTGAAGTCGGAGCTGCAGAGGAGACACACGTGCACAGACCTGGGTGAGCTGACAAGCTATCTTGGCTTGCGGATCACCCGGGACAGAGCACGGCGCACCATCACCCTGACTCAGTCACACATGGTGCAGCAGGTTCTCCAGCGCTTCCGCTTCACGTACTCCTCGCCTCAGTCCACTCCTCTGCCTACCGGTCACTCGCTCTCAGCTCTGCCTTCGGATGAGTCCGTAGAGCCGAGTGGCCCGTATCCAGAGCTTGTGGGCTGCCTCATGTACCTGATGACCTGCACTCGACCTGACCTTGCATACCCTCTTAGCATCCTTGCACGCTATGTCGCTCCTGGCCGTCACAGGAAGGAGCACATGGATGCCGCTAAGAGGGTGTTGCGCTACTTGTGTAGTACGTCGGGCATGGGGCTTGTGCTTGGAGGGCGAGACCGAGTTGTTCTCACAGGGCACTCAGACGCTTCTTGGGCAGACGACCAGGCCACTCAGCGGTCGTCTCAGGGTTACACCTTCAGCCTTGGCTCTGGCTCAGTTTCTTGGCGCTCTACACGCTCTTCTTCTGTTCTCGGCTCCAGTTGCGAGGCTGAGATCTACGCTACAGCCATGGCTGCCCAGGAGCTACGCTGGCTGACCTACCTGCTGACCGACCTCGGAGAGCGGCCTCGTTCTCCTCCAGTACTGTACGTCGACAACAAGGCTGCCATTGCCTTGTGTGAGGAGCACAGACTGGAGCACAGAACGAAGCACATCGCCCTGAGGTACTTCCTTGCTCGTGAGCTGCAGCATTGCGGTCAGCTTTGTATTCGCTACGTGGCCACTGAGGCCAACACTGCTGATGTGTTCACCAAGGCGCTTCAGCCTCGTGACCATCAGCGCTTCTGCACTCTGTTAGGCCTTGTGCCTACTGGACCTCACTTGCTTACCTCTTGACTTTGCTTGTACTGTGATCACTATATATATATATATATATATATATATATATATATATATATATATATATATATATATATATATATACCTGCATGTTTACTCTTGCTAGGTTGTGATCACTGTATCTCTTGCTCTGTTATAAACCTGCATGTGAACTGGTCTTGTGACCACTAGCTTGTGCTCGGAATTTGTGTGGAATCCTCGAGATCCACCCTGAGCTTGTTTGCCCTGCTTTGCCTTGACTGGTCTTGTGACCCCTAGGTCTCCCCCACTTTGCCTATGGGGGTGTGTCAAACATTATATGTGTTGGTTGTTGTTAGGCTACAGTGAGATAGACCATATGGGGTACAGATCTCTAGGGTTTACTATTTGTGCTGCCTTCCTTGTTAGTTCAATCATCCCAGTCTGTTATTTCGACACAGTGGAGGAGGTCGCAATGACCGGACCCCCAGAGGGGTCAGCGAGGGAGACAGCAACTGGCCGAGCAAGTGGCTCAAGGACAGTGCGGTCACGAAAGAAACAGCGTGAAGCACCTGAGTCCAGGGTGAAGGTGTGCAGTGCCTCAGTCGACTCAGTACCAGGGGGGACAGACGCACGAGCACCTAGAGCGACAGCCTCACCATCACCTGAGGGAGCAGACACGCAAGTACCTGCAGCGGCAGTCTCACTAGCACCTGGAGCGGCAGTCTCACTGGTCAGAATGCCCGGGTCGGGCGGAACACACAAGTACTGAGCACCCTCTCCACTAGTAAACATGGCATACATGGCAGTGAGAATAGCATCAAAGTCTAGAGCCCAGATATCAACCCCCTTCCTCTCCAGATCAGCCCAGCGGGGCAGCTCAGCGCCATCAGGGAACTGGGTGCGCCAAGCGTCGGTAAGGCGCGCGAAACAGCGCTGCGTGGGGTGCGGCCTCCCACACTGCTGACCAGTGCGGTCACCAGTGCGGATGACATACGTGCAGCTAAGACGCTGGGCATACCACTCACGGGCCTCCTGGAGCGACGGAGTGTGCTGCTGGCTCAGACCACCGCCAGCGCCTCCACGGCCACCACCACTGCCGCCACCTCCGCGACCACCGCCTCCCCTGCCGCTGCCACGACCACCTCCGCCCCCACCGCCGCCCCCGCCCCTGCCACCGCCCCCGCCGCTGCCGTCACCACCCCCACTGCCGCCACTAGCCTCTCCAGCCCCTCCTCCACCCCCACCGCCTCCACCCCTACCGCCCCCGCCGCCACCTCCACCCTTGCCCCCCTTCGTCCTGCGGCGCCCGCTCGAAGCAGACGCGGTCCCGACCTTCTCAGCACCAAGAAGGTCGACAGCAGAAGCAGAGGCGACAGAGGGAAGGAGGGGGGAAGGGGAACACCCCTCAAAGAAAGGAGTGCGGGGGTCACCACGAGAGGCACCTACAGCGACGACACTCGCCTCGGCTGCAAGTAGCTCCTTCTCGAGGAGGGCAATGGTGAGCTCAGTGGGGCAGCGAGCTAGAAAGTGATCCCTGACTGCGCGCAGAGAGTCAGGGAGGCGGGTGACTAGGTGGTAGAGAACGAGCCAGAGCGGGGGGGGGTTGTTAGCTAGGAACTCGGCAGGCATAGTTGCGCGGAAGCGGGCCTCACTAGTCTTGAGGTGGGTGATGAGGTCAGCAACGGTGTGGAAGGAGGCCAGGTCGGGGAACAGGTAGGGGAGGGAGAGGCGGCCTAGTGCGGCAGAAGCAGGCGAGGAGTAACGAGCAACTACAGCAGTGTACAGCTCCTTAGCAGTCTTGTGCTGGCCAAAGTGCTCGCGCTCATCTAGCGGCAGGGAGTTGCGAATGGCAAAGCGAGCGTGAGCGTCACGAGTCTGCCACTGTGAGCGCTGAGTGCTGTCAGCAGTAGTAGGAGGTGCAGTAGCGTGGCCTAGGGCGTGATCGTACAGTGAAATATCTTCCTTGGCAGTGAGCTGTAGGTAGAGGTGCAGGTCATCGAGCCAGGTGTCAAACTTCACCGGGCGGCCCTCAGCATCAAAAGCGAGTACAGGAGGAGTAGCCATAGCAGCAGTAGCAGTGGCAGTAGCAGCAGTAGGAGTAGCAGCAGCAGTAGTGTAGTGCAGGTAGGACAGCGCGGCTCGGCTAGGGCTGTGCGGCTCGGCTAGGGCGGCGCGGCTCGGTTCGGGGCGCGCGGCTCGGCTCGGACTGGGCGGCTCGGTTCGGGTCGCGCGGCTCGGCTCGGATCGGGCGGCTGTAGCGGTCGCGGGCCGTTGGGGCCTTTAGGGGCGAGCGCGGGGCCGTACGGGGCCTCTAGGGGCTAGCGCGGAGCCGTGCGGGGCCGTAAGGGGCGAGCGCGGGGCCGATCGGGGCCTCTAGGGGCTAGCGCGGGGCCGTTCGGGGCCTCTAGGTGCGAGCGCGGGGCCATTCGGGGCCTCTAGGGGCGAGCGCGGGGCCGTACGGGGCCGTAAGGGGCGGGCGCGGGGCCGTTCGGGGCCGTAAGGGGCGAGCGCGGGGCCGATCGGGGTCGCTAGGAGCGAGCGCGGGGCCGTTCGGGGCCGTAAGGGGCGAGCGCGGGGCCGACGGGGTCGCTAAGGGGCGGCGCGCGGGTCGCTAAGGGGCGGGTCGCGGGTCGCGGGGCCTTAGGGGGCCGTGAAAAACGAGGCGCCCTAGGGCGCAGGTAGGTAGGTAGGTAGGTAGGTAGGTAGTGGTGGGCCCTAAAAAAAAACGGTCCTAGCGAAGGACCTGCTCTGAAACCATGTCGGAAAGAACGAACAGGAATGATGAACTAACAGTGCAAAACAGTACAAGTACCTAACCCTAGAATTGTGTACCCCGTATAGGCTAACCCACTGTAGCCTACACAAGCATAACATATATAATGTTTGACAGTGCCAGCGGATGAAGAATAGCAAGCAGAAAAAAGTAGGGTTACTTCAGCCTTTACCCGTACCGGAGCAGCCATGGCAAGTTGTCAGCCTAGACTTCATTACTGGGCTTTCTTCGACCTCACGAGGGCATGACGCTATACTCGTGGTGATCGATAAGTTCTCTAAAATGGGACACTTCATCCCGACCAACGCCACGGCTACTGCTGAAGCAACTGCTCGCCTCTTCTTCGACCGCATCATCACCATCCACGGCATCCCCGCTACACTTATCTCGAAAAGAGACCCTAAGTTCACTAGTAAGTTCTGGAGGGAACTCATGGGATTGTTGGGGACAAAGCTTGCGATGTCTTCAGCGTACCACCCCCAGACTGACGAACAGACAGAGCGACTCAATCAGGTGGTTGAACAGTTACTGCGCACAGCTTGCAAAGACGACGTCAGCCACTGGGATTCACAGTTACCGATACTTGAGTTCGCTTATAATAGCGCGTCGCATGCGGCCACAGGGAAATCTCCATTCTTCCTGTGCTACGGACGGGAACCACTTACACCACAGCAGCCAACCACACCGGCACACATCCAAGCCGCACACGACTTCGTCACCACCATGCAGCAGCTATGGGAGAAGACTCACCAACATCTCACCACGATGCAGAACTCCCAGAAGCAGTATGCCGATCGCCAGCGACGTGATCACTCAGTAGCAGTCGGAGATCAGGTGCTTCTTGACACGCACAACTTGAACCTGTCTCACCTACCGTCCAAACTCCGGCCTCGCTTCTGTGGTCCTTTTCGCATTGAGGCACAGGTGACACCAGTAACATTCCGCTTGCGCTTACCTACTACGTGGAAGCTTCACAATGCTTTCCATGTTCAGCTACAAAAGCCCTACAAGGACCCCAACCAACAGTTCCAGGGACGCCAGCTACCGCCACCATCACCTGTTCTCATACAGGATGAACCAGAGTACGAGGTGGAAAAAGTTCTCGCTCATCGACGCAGACGCGGCAATACGCTCGAGTTCCTGATACGCTGGAAGGGATATGACCCATCGGAGGATAGTTGGGTTGCAGAAGCTGATATGGGCAACGCACGTCGTGCTCTCAATGACTATCTTGTCAAGCAGGGTGTTTCTCACGCCACCCAGCTTTGAGGGGGGGACGTGTGAGAGTACGACGTCATTGCTACGCTTTACTAGCTTGATTCTGCTTTACTATGCATTATCTAGCTTAGCTTTGCTTTATTTTGCTTGCCTTTGCTAGATTTCCTAGGTTCGTTGCTTTTACTATATTATTATAGTTTTAGGCACCGAACTAGGTTGAGTGCACCGAATTCTAGGCTTTTCGGTTGCCACCGAATTGCCTTCTACCGAATTCGGGAAGGACCCGTTCGGGACGCTTCGCGACCCGCGGAACCTTCTAGTAACACCCGGGTTACTGCCTTTGTGTCGAGCCTATATATAGCCTCGCCTTGTACCCAGGTGAATCATTCAATAGAATCATCTTTCCTGAACCAAATCCTCACAGCTAACGTGCTCGATGCTTCACGCGCACATGCCAAATGCACATGCTGCTAATGTGCGCCCGATGCAACATGCGTACATGCCGATGCCGCTGCTGCTGCAACGCGCTGCTGATGCTGATGCACCGAACACACCAGCTGCTGCTATGCGCTTCTGATGCCGATGCACCAAACACCCCTTGCTGCTGCTATGCGCTGCTGATGCCGATGCACCGAACACATCTGCTATGCGCTGCTGATGCCCATTCAGCGAACACATCTGCTGCTGCTATGCGCTGCTGATGCCGATGCACCAAACACCCCTTGCTGCTGCGATGCGCTGGTGTTTAAGTTGGGCTTGATAGGCACCTGCTACTACCGCTGCTCATAACGCCCCTACTTATGCGCGTTGCTGCTACTGCTGATGCTGCGAATGCACCTGCTGATGCGATCCCATCTCCTGCGCGCCACTCCCGCTAGCGCGCTCCGGTGCTTTACGCGCACATCCCGCTGCCGCTGCTCCTAACGCCCCTACTGATGCACGTTGCTGCTACTGCTGATGCTGTGAATGCATTTGCTGATGCGATCCCATCTGCTGCGCGCCGCTGCCTGCTTTACGTGCACAACCCGCTGCCGCTGCTCGATGCGCGTTGCTGCTACTGCTGATGCTGCGGATGCGCCTACTGATGCGATCCCAGCTGCTGTGCGCCGCTGCTGCTAGCGCGCTCCGGTGCTTCACCCGCATATCCCGCTGCCGCTTCTCCTAACGCCCCTACTGCTCCGCCCTGCTGCTGCTGCCGATGCTGCAAATGCACCTGCTAATGCAATCAGGCTGCTGCGCGCTGCTGCTTCAAGCGCGCTGCTGTGCCTCACGCCCTATAACACCTCGCTACCCACTGGGTCAAAACGAGGGTGTTATTTGGCGCAGCGGAATGCCCATTAACACTCAGCCCACAGGCGTTACACTCGTCCCCCCCTGGTGTCAACGTCCTCGTTGACGAACTTCAGGGAGTCGGCCCCCGCAGGGACCTATTCGCTGTGCTCCAAGCAGCGACTTCGCTGGTGGACCAGGCCAGCGAAGGATCGTTCGCTGGGTTCGATCCGGTTACCACATTCAAATTCTCGCCACAGGCGGAAAATGTGAATCAGCCAGGATTTGAAACCTAGGCTCTGATTCCAGTATAACACCTCGCTACCCACTGGGTCAAAACAAGGGTGTTATTTGGCGCAGTGGAATGCCCATTAACACTCAGCCCACAGGCGTTACACGCCCACATGCCGCTGCCTCTGCCCCAGGTGCGATGTGCTGCTGCCCACCTGTTCATACGCTTCTAGCGCGCACCGCTTCTGCCGCGGATGCTGCTGCGCGCACCTACTCGCTCATATGCTCCAAGCGCGCGCCTGCTTATCTAGAAGCATCTATTTGTGCTAAAACACATACTCTCGTTTCTCCTACTGGTGCACGGCTCCTCGTAGCGGGCAAGTGCAAATGATATGATGAAGGGAGCAACTATAGTTCCAACGATTTCAGTCTAGGAGAGCGATTGTCACTAAGCTAAGTTCCGAACTGCGCATCTCTCATTTCGGCAGGATAAACTAGCTGGGAGGAAGTGAATTGAGCTTATGCTGCTCTGTGACTGCCAAAGTGAGTTATCATTTTCGCGCCAAACCACGCCAAACTGACATGTCCTTGGCCTGACGAATAGCATCCATACACCATTGAGTTGAGTGCCGTTGCGGTTTACATACCTCGAGGGGGAGGGAAAGGTTTATCACTTGGAAATAGGGTAACCTTTCCTCCACAAGTACCCCTCTGCGGAGAAACGAACAATCGTGGGGGAAGGTTTCGGGAGGGGGGTGGGGGTTCCCAAACCAACAGCGGGAACGATTTCGCGAGGTTAGGACGCGTCACAATTGCAACACCGACCCTGTGTAGGTTCGGTGTTCACCATCTACAGTGAATTCGCCAGCTGGCGAATTATGTGTATCCCGATTTCGCACAACCATGACGCGAATCTCGTGAACTTGCAGCTTGACGAGATTGCCCCGCTCGAAATGCCACATCGATCGTGCGATTGGCAGCGCGGGAAACGAAATCGCGCCACCGGTGCCAGCCACGATCGATCGCCGTCGCATACTGTCGGCCACTCTCGAAGTGGTAACAGAGCGACATAAAAAACTGTCGTTGGGCTACATCTGCGCTGTGCGATCGCGTCGTCACAACCCAGGCGAAAGTGAACGACGCGCCAGCGAAGCACGGCACCTGCCCTCGAAATTGGCTGTACACTTGGTGGAGGTCCCCCACTTGCAAATCCAGTCGTGTCTCACTTGGCTCGGAGAAGCAGCCTAACACTGCTCATGCAGATTGGAAACCGATTTTCATACACGCTGCACACATTTTCGGTGTTCGGTCCCCGATCCTCCCCGGTTACAACTTGATCCACTTCGCTGATGAGTTTGTATACCATAAGGACGCGTCACAAGTAGAATATCGAACCTGCCTAGAATCGGTGTTTAGGTGGTTACACATTTTCGTTTATTTTTTTTCGCTAACGTACAGTTTTCCCTTCTAAGTCAGGCGATCGATGTGCCCCTGTCACACATCGATCGTGCAATTTCGTCCACATCGGGCAATTTTGCCCCATGTTTTTACGATCGTGTCACTTGAAACTTCA